AATACAGTTAGTTAAAATATGGATAGTTAAAATCATATTTAAATTGAAGGGCATAAAGTAATAACCATCATACCAAATATTTTAATCTCTGATTATTTATCTAGGCAAGCCTGCTTTATTTGTAAGTAGAAACCTAAATCAAAAACACTATTTACATATCTAGCTTCCTAAAAATCAAGCAAACACTTTATACTTATAGACAAGAAAAATCAACTACATGTAGTCTTTGACTTAAAACAGTTAGTTTAATGACCATACAAAGTTTAAAACGGCACTGAAAAAAGTGATTTATAACCATTTTTCACATCTACGACCATTGCAGCATCCCCCTAGTCATGTGATCAAAATTCAGACACCTGGCAACTGACTCATATTTATGATGGTTGCCGTGTTCTGGGGTCTTTTCATCACCTTTTGCAACCTTTGGACAAGTAAAGTCAATGGGGAAGCCATATTCACTTAACAACCATGTTACTAACTAAACAACCACAGTGTTTCACTTAACAACTGTGGCAAGAAAGGTCATAAAACGGGGCAAAACTCAGTTAACAAATGTTTTACTTAACAACAGAAATTTTGGGCTCAATTGTAGTCATAAATCGAAGACTATATGTACTAGCCTTTTTTATTTGAAAAATAGAAAAGTCATACTCAGATTAATATTTAACAAAATAAATTTATGAAAGACTTTGACAGATTTCTTTACTGACTTACTGACCATACAAACCAATTTTATATGGCCATCCTACCTTCACTGAAACAGAATAAGCTTACAGAATATGGGATTCAGAAACTAAATGCAAAATCATATATTCACATTCTCAAGAGTGTACTAGATTTCCACACCCATAATTCCTGGCAAGTAGAGCCACTGTTAAAGAATTATAGGGAAATTAAAGCCCAACACATTCAGAGGGCACCAACTCAACAATGAAAATTGCTGTGGTTAAGAAGAAGTGTCAGATTTAATTTCAATTCTTAGCAACAGCAATTGGTGCTATTTTGTTTCCCGAAAAATGCCACTGATCATACATTCCTACAACATAAAGTACATTAATTGCAGTGATGAGTGGACTCAGACAAGGTCATGTTACATATTAAACCCAGTAAGAGTCTCGCTAGAATCAACTCCTTTTACTCTTTCCCTCCCCCCCCCCAAAAAAGCTCTCAGATTATTCTGACTCATTAATAACTCTTTTTTCCACTGAAGTACAGCAGGTAAGCAGTCCAGACAACTGACTGAAAAAGCCCAACAGTCTTGAATATTACTGAATAAAATGAATTAAGTGCCACCACATTCCTCAAGGTGACAGCTGAAGGATGCTCTTGTTCAAAGCACTCATCAACATGGAATAAATTGCAGAGGTACATCAACCATTTTTGCAAGCGCTTTTAAGTACATCACAAGACATCTAAAGCTTTTCCATGACAGGTTGGAAGCAAAAACCTCCTCAGTTTAAAGAGACCACCAAAAAAAACGAAACAAAAAAAATCCATTTCTTTGTGGTGACATTTGCAGAACAGCTACCCGTGTAAGTTAAGGAAAGAATGAGAAGAAAATCACTTTCCTGTCTTATACATAAAAATAAGAGAAGCACACAATGATAAATCTGTGCATAGTCAACTATGGCTATTTATAACAACAACAAAAAAAAAAACAGCAGCAGCAGCAACAATAATAAATGTATACACTGCCCAACTCTCAGCGACTGTCATTGTAATTGTAAAAAATCACAATGCAAGTTTCAGCTAAAGAGAAACTTTTCAGCTCAGTGTGAAACAGATTCTTTTTTCCTTATGGGTAACCCAGTTTAGGAACAAATCCGCATTCCTACAAATAGCTGTGTCTCCCATTTTAGGCTAACTGTTGGGTTGAGATTTGCAATTTTAAGAGCGAAGTCTATGAAGAGGGTTAAAGATTAAATCTTCCCATCTCACTCCCTCCCAACGAATCACCTTTGGCACAATAATTAAAACTAACGTAGGACTTTTTAAAAAAGCAGAAGTTCCAAGAGAGTGGGAGAAGATTTTAGATCCAAAAGGTCAATATGACATCAAAATCCTAAGCACGTCAATGTTGCTTAGAATTATTTACAAATCCCAAATATAAACTAATATTGAGTAATTCAGGCATGTATGAGCTGCTCTCATGCACTGTTTAGGAAGACAACAGAATCTTCTAATACAGTATCAGTTCATATCATCTATTTTTTATTAATTTCAGCATCATATTAGAGGATTTTTTGGGCAGAAGCAATTACCCAAGCTGCTTGTAAAATTGATGCCACACACTTTCCATGTAGGAAACAGGTGCTTCACTTCAAAAAAGTTGATCTATGCCAGCAGCCCTCAACCTTTTGTACACTAGAGACCGGTTCCATGGAAAGAGTTTTTTACATGGACCGGATGGGATATGGTTTTGTGTACTGCCTGTATCCCATGGATGGGACTTTACTTGTTTGCGTGGACTGGTTTCTGGCATGCCGCAGACTGGTGCCGGTCCACGAACCGGGGCTTGGGAATCCCTGATCTATGCAACTGCATTTCTATCTGCCATTACCAAGTTTAGTGCTATAACCTTTTAAAAATACACTTAGATTAACAAGCAAATCAAAGTTGGATGTTAAAGAAGAAGAACGGAAAGAATACTGACGTTTTTGAACTTTAGGGTTGGAAAAGACTTTTGAAATACCACGGATAGCCAAGAAAACAAACAAATGAATTGTACAACAAATTAATCTAGCTAGCCTATTTACCTGAGGTACAAATGATCAGGCTCAAATTATAGCATTCTGCACACATTATGCAGACACAATGCAAGCTCCCTTAAAGAATCCAAAATGCTAGTAAAGGTAGAAAGGAAGAGAACAACCTGCAGCAATATGAATGGGTTTGATTGTAGTGGTATAGGGAAACTTGAAGAGTAAAGCTGAAAATGGGTAAACCTGGCTAAGGTTTAACTATATGGTCACTAAGAATCAACACCAACTTGATGGCATATAATCAAACAAATGTATTAAACAAATAAGCAACCTTGTACCTTTAATCTGGTTAGAAGCACAATGTGCTGGTTAAAGATTATTCAATTTAAGTAGTTAGAAATATTTTGTTCAGTATTAATAAGTATCCATTAAAACAAAGAAATGCATATTACACTGTGCCTGCCAACATATGCTCTAAATGTATTGTGAAATCTTTCATAGATTTTTTTAAAACAATGGTTTAATAGCTAAAAAATTGCTTATTAATGCTACACTTAAATACTTACAAATGCTACATTTAAATTTCTAACTACAATAGACACTCTATCACATTTTAAGAGACTGTTTTAGATGTGGCTAAGCTAATGATTTAGAAGGATGGGAGGATGGCTGTAGTACATGAGGAACAACCAAACAGCTTGCCAAGTTATCAAATCTATTTTAATCATAGTTCAAACTGCTGACAGCAGACACAGAATATCTAATATGATGAAGAAGCAGGAAGGGGACACAGGTAAAAAGCAGAGTTTCTTCCCAGAGGATACTGCACTTGACAGGACGATGTTATCCTTCAAGAATTTCTCCCAAGCAAAGGTGAATGGGACTTACAGTAGAATGCTGCTTACACATTTCAAATGATGGCACACAATCTCTTCCATACTTTCATCAACCTCAAACCCTTATTCCAAAAGGTCAACTAACAAGAAAAAGTACATTTAATCTCAACCACAGATTAGATGGCCTAATCACAGCTTTCAACAATAACATGATTTAGTATTAGGCTCTCTCTCATATTGGTTAGCAGTATGAATAACAAAGATTTCAAAAGATAATAAGCCAAGAACTGCTCATTTTGAATAGGGCAGAGGGAGCAACTGCTCATCCTACTCTACCCTGATTTCACCCCCAACATCCTACACAACTCCAGTGTCCATAACTGCTATCAGGATGCCAATTTCCCCATCCTGTGACTTTGGAGATCCATGTAGAATATGAAGAGTGATTCCGACTACGCTCCAATCAAACTGCTTCTCATTAAGCCCACACAGAGAGAAAAGGCCACTCACTAACCACCCAATCTCCTTATCTGACAAACAAACAGAAGATTATCAAGAGCCACAACATATCCCATTATAGGAACAGCTGCTCTCTCCAGGAGGCTCAATTTCCTTCTGATCACCATCAGAGCTTTTCCAACAAGTTTGATTTATCAGAACAGCTGTAGGAAATGCAGACCCTTGATAAAAAAAAAATACAGAAGCAAATAAAAACAAATCTGCCAATTACTTCAGCTAGTGTGAATATTTAACTTCCACGTGAGACCACCTCCTTATCCATTCACAGCCACCCTCTGCATTCAAGTGAAATACAATGAAGCTTCTTTCTAATATGTGGCTAATGAACAGACATTCAATTAGAGTCATTATCCAAATAAACCTGGCTTAGCTTCTCCTATACAACTGCAAAAAAAACTACAGCCATTCTTCTGCGCATATGCTGCAGAGAGGCACATGGCATTTATTTTCACTTCTATTCTAGGCAAGCAGCTCATCTCAGTGAGTAAAAAAAGGATACAGAAAACACTGTAAATAAAGTCATAATGAAGAGATGCTGCAAAAATGGTAAAGTTTGTCAGTGCATTCCTCAGTCAGCAATCTCCTGATAGCGTTTACTTTATAGTCATACATTTATGCTTTATTAAAACAAAGGTAGCTAATTGCAGATATCATCAATGAAGGCCAGTTTGATTCTAAAAGCTTATTCCAAACATATGAACGAACACAATCATTGTTCCTAAGGTTCTGGGTCTACAATTTCAATTCACTGAAGATTCAGCTATGGCCCCTTTTTCCAATGAGACTCATGGAATTGATTTTGAGCAAATCAAAGACTGTTACAACGGCACAAATCAACTTTGCTGCTAACTTACAAAGCCCCCTATGATCACTGCCCAACTTCCCAAACATCTAAACACACAACAATAGCAAATCCGTATCACCCAAACAGCCTGAAACTTGCCTCTCCGCCGTGTCCATCAAATATCCCAAATATGGATGGATGAGTCTTGTTCACCAGATCCGTGATCACTTCAAACCTGTCTTCCATGTGGTCTCTCCGGCCTTGGATAGAATAAACAGCCACATTGTGGTTCTTAAACTCCCAGGTCTTGGAAAACTCTGCATCCAGAACATCCAGACCCCCAAGTTGGTCATTTTGCATAATTTCTGCTACCTTGCCCTTCACCATTTTCACTGCATCCCTGCTGGACTTGACAATGGTTTTCACTTCATCTGTATGGAAGAAGTAGCTCCATAGGGCCAGGCTGATGCATAGCAGGAACAGCGTCTCTGGTCTCAGTAAGAAGTAACGCATGATCCGACCCAGCAAAGAGAGCAAAGTCATTGTATCCTCTATCATTTATTACAGAGGCAGTAGATCTTCCCTCCCACACACACCATATACCACACACCCTGATGGTTGGGATGGGTCTAAAAGCAAAGCAGCAAATCACTGCATGTTCCTGTAATGCAAACACACGGAGGGCAGGGTCAGTGCTGCTAAAAGTGCCTCCTCTTTCTCCTCCGTTCTTCTGTGCAACTGCTTCAGGGCGCGTAGTCCCAGATGGCAAGAGTACTCCGATGTCAAGTTGCAGAGATCAGCATGCACGCTTGGGAGTCGGAAGGCACCCTTATCCTTCTCCACTTCTCACTCCTACAGCTGCCAAAGAGCATGCAGCAGCTCCTGGAGAAACGACGTTGGGAGATCAGCTGCAAGACAGCAAAGGATCAGTGCAGGAGCTGCTAGAGGCACTACCAGCAGCACAAGACCTATCTGGGTCTGCCGCAGATCGTCCCTGTGCTCATTGTGGCTTTTCAGCCAGGCCAGAGGCAAGAAGAAAAAAGCATTTGGCGCAAGAGGACCCTCTTCCTCCCTCCCTTACAGTTTCCCTGGGCATTCACTCTTGCTGCCCAAGGGCAGTCAATCAATTCATATTCCCCAACACAATTCCTACTCCCATTCTGGGTGCAGCAATAACCCAGGGCAGTTGCTAGCCCAAAGGAGCATGGCAGAGGGAAAGAGGACCCCAAGTCAAAAGCACAATACCGTGTAACTGTAGGATGAGAAAGGGGAACAATAGCAGCAATCAGTGTGGCGGCTTTTTAGAGGCAGGCAAGTTAGCCCCAATAGATCCAAGCAAAAGGGAAGAGTAACCCAAGAGGGTTCAGGGAGATTGAGATAGCCGATAGAAATACAGTACAAAGGGTTTGGTGGGTAGAGATGGACTGACCATTATAGGGAGAAAGTGGGGTAGAACAACAACAACAAAAACCCAGGCTGACTCTACCATAAGGTATGTCCATCATGTCCCTGTTTCTAAAACAAGGAACAAGACTTTAAAACCAGGACAATCTTGGCTGACAAACAATCCTTCGTAGACTCTTCTAAAGCGGCGCTTTTAACCGTTGCTGCTCAGCCTTTTCCTTCTAACATTCCATATACCTTGACTGGCAGCCCCCGGCTATGCCACCATCATCTTAAAAGATATTTCCAACTTTTAGGGAAGGTGACTGTCTCACTTTGGGAAAGACCTCTGCACCGCGGGCACAGGCTGGGAACGTGGATCGGGGGATAAGGGATCACAAAGGGGGATTATTAGCGGCGTGGGCTTCGTCCACCAGACCCCACCTGCTCTTCCGCTGCCGCTCTTCCTAACGGAGGAGTGCAGAGCAGTACACGCTAAAGCCGGCCCCTCCAAGAAAAGAAAGCAGCCCACCTCATGCTCCTTTCCCCGTTGCTGCAAAAGGCTGATCGCTCACTTGCCCCAGCGGCAATCCAGGGCTGGCCAATCGGCGACTCGCTTCTCCACCTTGTGGCTTCCAATGCACCCACAGCCCTTGCCCGGGCCTCCTCTTTCTTCGACGCTGAGTCTGTCCCCCTACTTTGCATGCCCTCCCCCGACCCTGCCCTCGGCTGCTGTCACCTGCAGGGCCGATCGCAAAGTACCTGTCTCCCCTTTCTTGCCGAGCCTGTCCCTCCCACTGGGCTGGGTCGAGGGTTCCCAAGTTACCTCGCCGGAGACAGCGATGCCTACAAATCCCGGCAGCCTTAGCGCCAAGGCGCGGTTCCACGATTGGCAGGAACCCCGCTAAGGGCTTCTGGAGCCTGAAGTCCACGAATTTTCACAGCCAGCCTTGCTCTCTCGCGCCCTCTACCAATAAATATAATGATGCACCCATAAACGCACACAAATACCCATATCGGAGTCATGCCGTTCCCTTTTTTTTGTGAGTATTTAAGCAACACTAGCAAAGCACAGAACGGGAGTGAAATTACGCGTAAATTAGCGACATGTAATAAAAAACGGAATGCAGTATAAAGAATACCAGTTTACCTTTCTTTTATTGGGTTTCTATTTTTTTAACCGGTTAAAGAACTCAACATTGCCGTTTGTTCCCTAAATTTTTTCTTGGAAGAACTCTCCAATTCCCTCCAACCACGACCATCCGTCTTTTTCTGTTACATTTAGTTTATTGTTTATTTATTTAGTAAATAAACACTACCTATCTCACTATTAAGCGAGCTTGGTTGTTTTCTTGCAGATGTTTCGTTACACAAACTAGGTAATGTCATCAGTACTAGCCTGGAAACAACCAAGCTCAGATAGCACCACCAAAGACCTCTCATTTCAAACGTGAGCTATAAATATTCTTCTCTACCAGTAACATTATAGTTTGCAATCATCCACTTCATTTTCTCAAAAAAACAAAAACAAAAACAAAAAAACCTACTTGGGCTTTTGGTACTTTACGGATCCATTCTCTTCTTGTATCATATAATCTATTTAATATTCACCAAAGTTGTGTACTAGTGCATCTTGAAAAACATGGTACTTTGGCAGAGATTAAATTGGATAGATTCTATTACCTCCAGGCTTTAATGAAAGTTTTGTTTGCCTGGTTGTCTTCTGTTTTCCTTTTGCCATGGGGCTTTAGACAGACAATCTGAAATATACCGTATATGCCGGCGTATTAGGCGACCCGGCGTATAAGACGACACCCGTCTTTATAGCCGGGCCGCATTCCTAGAACGTCGTCTTATACGCCGGAAACTACCAGTATTTCCGGCGTATAAGACGACTCGGTGTATAAGACGACTCGGCGTATAAGACGACCCCCGTCTTTGGCGCTGATTTCAGCGCTCGCGGAAGTCGTCTTATATGCTGGCATTTACGGTATTATTCTTACAAATCTAGTGATAAGATTTATTAGATGTGCCCTATAGTGCAGTGGTTCTCAACCTTCCTAATGCTGCGACCCTTTAATATAGTTCCTCATGTTGTGGTGATCCCCAACCATAAAATTATTTTCGTTGCTACTTCATACTGTAATTTTGCTACTGTTATGAATCGTAAATATCTGATATGCAGGATGTCTTTTCATTGTTACAAATTGAACATAATTAAAGCATAGGGATTAATCACAAAAACAATGTTATTATATATTGTGAAATATTTATTTCTAATTACAAATAAATGAAATTTTGTCTTGAAGCGTGGTGTAGCATGGGTAACAGTCTTAATATAACAACAGTAAACTAATTGCTACATTTTGCGACAGTATGCGTAAAAAGCCAACGTCAGTGCGAAGGTTGAGATTGCTTCTTTCTCACCTAGAAGGAGGAAAGTGCAGTGTGGGAAATCATTTTTTGTTTTTTAAAAGTACCTCAATTTTTCATAAAGTTTGAAGGGCCTTTCCTCTTCCGTTCCCTATTCTGTAACTCGTTCTCGACGGTCCTTTTTTCGGACTATGGAAAAAACCGGGGCGAATTTGAAACTTTTCTCCCCGAATACAGAGTGATTCCCAATCTGCTCTGAGAAGGGTGTATGTCCATTCTTTCCTGCTCTTCATTTAGCTATGTTTGAGGGCTGCGAGTGGAAGGAAGGGGGGAGGGCAGAAAAAAGCGCAAAAGTGATTCCTATCTTTAGCAGCGAAAAAGATGGCGGTTGGGGGGGATGGAGCAGATTCCACTTTGCAGCTTGCATTTTCAGAGACAAAGTAGATGTCCAAAAGAAAAGAAAAACTAATATCTTAAATGAAAAGTTATTTTCTGCGGCAGAGGAGTAAATGCTGTACTTACTGCATCCCGCAACAAACGTTTTACTTGACTAAACAAGGACCAATAAGAAGCCGCTTTATCTGCTTTTTCAAGCCAGGTTTCAGGCTTCTTTTCATGCCAATTACGATCAAAACCTCTGTCTGAAGCACTTTTTCTCTGAGCATCCTACACACCTGTTGCTTTTAGCTATGAAGGTAGAGTTACTATGATTTTTTTTTTAGTTTACTCATTTCCTGGAGATGAGCTTTTTTTTCCTCTCCCTCCCAAAAACTCTCTCCACCCATCGGAGAAAAAAAGTGGCGCGTCCAACTTTCTGTAGAGTCCCAGGACCTTCTTATGGTGGTAAGCGGTGTCTTAAACACCACACCGACAATTGCCAGCTTTTTCAGACTTTACTTTTTTGCCGGTTGGAGTGCACAGCAGAAAAGACTAGCAGATTTTTAGCAGACACTTTCCAAGTAGGGAAGGACATGGGGAGGGAGAGAGCAGATGGTGGATGCCCTTAAATCCCGCCGCTTGTACAACATGTGAGGAAGCAGCAAAGTAGCAACTTTCCAGAGTTTGCTCCTCGTGGGTTTTGTGAGTAACAAAATCTCCTCTGTGCAAACTTCCTTGTGCGATTGCCATGAGAAGAGCGGTGTCTCGGTTCCTAAGACCATCGGAAATACGTATTTTCTGATGGTCTTAGGTGACTCCTGTGAAAGGGTCGTTTGACCCCCAAAGGGGTCGCGACCCACAGGTTGAGAACTGCTGCTATAGTGGCATATAGCCTACAGTGGAAAAGAAGTTACTGAACTGACATTAAAGGTTAATGTCTTCCAAGTCAAGCTTGATTGTTGGTGTTTTCATGGACAATCTTTGTAGTTTTCTTATTAACAGTACAAAATGGTTTGCCACTGCCTCCTTCTGGATTGTTTTTTCCCAAAATTTCTAACTGTAATTACATCAATACAGATGATTGTGCTGAATTTCCTAGAGAAGATTGACATTTGGATTATACATGGAAGGATTTATACACATGAATATAAAATAGTGGACAAAGTTATGACTGATTTGAACAGAAATGAGCCATAGTGAGGACTGTAGTTATGGATTTGACTTGGAGGTGGTCAAATCAAGCAGATTATTCCTCTTTGGGTGCAAATCATTATAGGCACCTGATGGATAGGATGGTTGCTTACAACCTCTCTTGAATTGCCCTCTAGCTGAATAGGGGGCTAAGGGAGGGGTTCTGTTATCTCTGTTTGTCCAAGCTTTTCACAGGCTTTACAAGGGTGAATGAAGTTCCTTTAGATTGTTGGATGGTTCTTTTTTCCTGGTTTTGTCATTTGCCTTTGCCTTTACCCCTGAAGAAATTGCCCAGGGTTATATAAGATGGGCAATCGTATAAATATTGATAGTTAAGTAATTAAATAAAATCACTGCTAGATCCAAAGGTTTTGGATAATTTCCAACCATTTGCTAACCTCCCCTGTGGGGGGAAAGTTGTGGAGAAAGTATTGCCCTGGTTCTCCATCTTTCTCTGCGATCAGTTGGAGTTAGCCTCACTAGGTAGACCAGACCAAAAATTAACTCCACAGGAAGATTAGAACTTTATTGACATAGGCTGTAATAAAAGAAACTTGCAAGTCTGCTTGTACTTTACCTCCCTTCTTTTTTATTATCTAAGTGAATCAGAGAGGTGTTGCCTGAGTTGCTTTCAAATATTATCTTGTTCCTAACACTTTCAGTTCTCTGTTCTTAGGTTGTTGCATATTTCTGACAGAATCACCATCCTCACTCTCTGCATGTAGTGATGGGAGAGATGGAGCCAAAGGCTTGATACATTCTCCACTCCTATTTAACCTCTCTACAATGCCACTGGCAAAGTAATCTTCATCTGCCAGAAGAATGCGGCTGGAAAAAAATGCTCAGGATCCAGAGATAAAGAGTATGCCCATAGCAGTCTCCAAGGGCAAAAGAAGCTGGGCAGAATCCTGCCTCTCACTGCATTAGGAGCAGCAAAATTGTGAAGGTGTCATAGAACTTTTGAATGGCCAGACGTGTATCGGAAGAAAAGGCAAAATGCTACTTCAAGACTGCAACAAAAACTCTATTCTGCCTTTGCCACATCTGTTTTTCTCTCCAAGATTATCTCTGTGGTCTCTGTGGTTACTGCACTGCAGTAATTCAGATGGCTAATAGGTAATCTTATCTTGATCAAAAGTGGCACAGATGAACCGCATTGCACAGCTAGTGCTAAAAGATAAAGCAAAATATCACTTTTGAACTGGAGCAGGTAAACGGAGGATGACTTAACAGTGATATAATCCATTTAGTCCTCTAACTATAGTTGCTGAATTATCCCTGATCTGTGGCTAATGGTCCATGTGGATTAATTCCTAGTCTTCTTCTGTAACACTAGGAAGGAAAATGAGCAAAGGCACTATGGAAGTTTAATGTAATATAGGTAGTGCTCGAGTTATGAACACAGTTGAGCCCAAAATTTCTGTTGCTAGGTGAAACATTTGTTAAGTGAGTTTTGCCCCATTTTACGATCTTTCTTGCCAAAGTTGTTAAGCGAATCACTGCAGTTAAGTTGGTAACATAGTTGTTAACTGAATCTGGCTTTCCCATTGATTTTGCTTGTCAGAAGATTGCAAAAGGTGATCACATGACCCTGAGACATTGCAACCACAGAAATGCTGCAACAGTCATAAGTGTGAAAAATGCTCATAAGTCACTTTTTTCAGTGCTGTTGTAACTTTGAACAGTCACTAAATGAACTGTTGTAAGCTGAGGACTACCTGTGGTCCTTAAATATACTCTTTCAGTGCTTCCCAAGGACCAGCTGGTGGTCTACAAAGTACAGGTAATTCCTGATTTACAATCATTCATTTTCT